TGTTTGTGAATATGTGTGTGTGTGTGTTGAGGTTCACAGTGTGAGGGAGAGGGCAAAATTCACTGGTTTTGTGTGTGTGTGCATGCGTGCGCATGCAGCATGAAGGTGATTAACAACCTGAAAAAACAAAAAAACAAAAGGGGAGGGGGGGTGGTGTATAAAATACTAGATGACTGGTAAAGCCTATGAAATGACAAATGTGTTTTGTGTGTCCAGGTGTGGTTACCGTTGTTCCCTCGAGATGAAGGAAAAGCCCACAACTTTATGTCCCGGAGGATCATGCTGCCCTTCAGAGTAGACATCTACCCACTCGGTACAGTTTTTTTTCCTCTCAGAATGTAGATCTACTCTTGTATGTCCCTGAAGTTCAGTTTGTTGGAAGAGCTGAGAAGTTTGTTTCTTCAACTTTTTCACTGAGTTTAACTTGATTTTTGTCAAATTCACAATAATTTATTGTTGGTGCGACCATTTGAATTTATTTCCGTGATTTGTTTTTCTTGACCTGTCCATGTGTGAAATGTGGCCATTACTAAGATAGATATAAGATAAGATAATACTTTATTATCCCAGAGGGGAAATTTTTCTTGGTTGTACAGGACCGTAAAAACACATGCACGTATACGTAAGAATCTTAATGATGTATTACTCTTATCAAAATTCATTATGAGAAGAGAAGTAAAGCTGACAAAATTTACATATCACATCGTTCAAACGCAGGCAGGAATTTAATTACAAGACCTTTGGAGTTATATAGATACATACTCTAAGAGCAAAACACATCTATGCTTATTCTGACAATAGCCTTATGCTAGATGGTAAAAAACTTCTTTTATATCTTTCTTTCTTTTGTTTTTAGAGTTACATATCTGCCGCTGCAGATTACCACGTTGTTTTTGTCTTTTTGTTGTTCCCAGCTGTGCTGTTTGAAGACGCTGTGATCCTCGGGGCAGCTTGCGACGTGGTCTCGTACACGCTGTCCTCGTCCGCTCCCACAAACTCCGATATGCCATTTTGTACACTGGAAAGAACTGTAAGTATCGGTGAGACAAGTTGGGGGTTGGCGGGTGCTGTGGTGTGGTTTGCTTCTTCTTTCCTATCAAACATCTATCGTCCTTATCTCCCCTCCTTCTTTTTTGTGTTTGTTACTCTCTTGTAACACCTCTAATCTTATATGACCTTATTGTGTTGCAAGTGCCGTAAAACACCTACTAAAACTAAAACGCCGGGACAACTTTTTGGGTGTTATGAATTCAGCCTTTTTTATATGTGTGTGTGTGAATAATGTTTCTTGAGATTCTGTTAAACCTTACAGGTGATTTGAGGGCGCTGCTAATGCTTTCTATTTCCCCATCGGTCTGTCCTACTTTTCACTAGCATTAAACGATCTTTATTGTGCTGAAACTCATACTGATGATTTTTTTTTTTTTATCATGGCCTTTGATAAGTAGTTCTTTTCAATTGTAATTTTTTATTCCCCTGTGACAGTGGAAAATTAACCCTGGCTATTATTGAAACAGATCAGGAATTTGGAAGTTGTTGGGGTTTTTTTCTGAGGAAGCAAAAAGTTAAAAGAACCATCATGGAGTGAAAATGTATGCTTTGTGCTGGCCAGGGAAAATCTGTCACAGGAAGTTTTATGAGACAAGTTGTAGTGCTATACTGTGCTGTATTTGAATGTGTTACACTTAACGGTATTATTTGTATTGACAAGTTGCCCTTTTTTCTCCCCCTCTCTTTCAGAGTCAAATTTATCTTCATCATATTCTTAGACAACTACTCAGAAGAAAGTAAGTAATGATGTGTGAAATTCAGGAAGAACTGAATATACTTTTTCCTGCCTGTTGATGCTTTTAGTTTTTATTGTGTTTGTGGTGTTGGTAAGGGGGAAGGAGGGGAGGGGGAGATAACAAGTTTGAAGTGCATACCTGTTGGTCTGTTTATGTGTGTTTATGTCTGGACAGGGGACATAATTCACTGCGTCTGTAGAAAAATGAGATTTTCAGGCGTTATCTCAAGGTTGTAGTTCTACACTGTTGTTTTCGTGGTTAATTTGGTGATTAGTGCTTGGCCTTTGTTGTCTGTGGGTGGTTGGCGGGTGCTCTGGTGTGGTTTGCTCCTTCTTTCCTATCAAACGTCTATTGTCTTTATCTCCCCTCCTTTTTTTTTGTGTGTTTGTTACTCTCTCGTAACACCTTTACTTTAATCTTCAGTATTTATATGACCTTATTGTGTTGGTTGCAAGTGCCATAAAACACTTACTAAAACTAAACTAAAAGAGATTCCTGTAACAGTGTCTGTATGCGTGGGTGGTTGGTGGGCTTCACTCATGTGGTCAGCTTCTTTTGTTTCTTTTCTCTGTGAGATGTGTTGTGGCTAGAGGGGCTGTGTGGTGTTGTCCCCTGTTTCTACTTCTTTTCACTGTTTGTACTGGAGTCTGTGTGGGTGGTTGGTGGGTGCTCTAGTATGGTTTGCTCCTTCTTTCCTGTAAAAAAAAATATTTCGTCTTTTATCTCCCTTCCTTCTTTTTTTTTTTTTTGCGTTTGTTTCTCCTTTGTAACACCTCTAATCTTCTGACACTCACATGACGTTATGCAGTTGCAAGCGCCGTAAAACCTCTACTAAAACTAAAACTAATTTATTCATGCTGGGGTCTGGAACAGGCCTTTGGTATGTGATACCCTTACAAATATCATTATAATTTTTTACCAGTTGTAAAACTGTGTGTACCATGTTTTTGGTAAACCCTAACAATTTCAATAACTATGCTCTCCGTTGCCAACAGCCTTGGTGTGAATGCCCTTGACCTTGCTCGTAGCTGCACGGAGCTGACCTACTTCCCCCACGTGCTGGAGCTTCTGCTGCATGAGGTGTTGGAGGCTGAGGCCACGTCGAAGGAGCCCATCCCAGGTGAGGGGATATCTCTCTCTCTCTCTCTTTCTCTCTCTC